TGCTTGGCTATGGTGGATGGGGGACGAAGGTAGAAGGTGCGTAGCTATGGTGGATGGGTGGAGGAGATGGAGGAGGAAGAAGGTAGAAGGTGTTTGGCTATGGTGGATAGGTGAAGGAGATGGAGGAGAAAGAAGGTAGAAGGTGCGTGGCTATGGTGGACAGGTGAAGGAGATGGAGGAAGAAGAAGGTGGAAGGTGCTTGGCTATGGTGGGTGGAGGAGATGGAGGAGGAAGAGAGTGAAAGGTGCTTGGCTATGGTGGATGGGTGAAGGAGGATGGAGGAGGAAGAAGGTAAGAGGTACTTGGCTATGGTGGATGGGTGAAGGAGATGGAGGAGGAAGAAGGTGGAAGGTGCTTGACTATGGTGGATGGGTGGAAGAGATGGAGGAAGAAGAGGGTGGAAGGTGCTTGGCTATGGTGAATGGGTGAAGGAGATGGAGGAGGAAGAGGGCGGAAGGTGCTTGGCTATGGTGGATGGGTGAAGGAGATGGAGGAGGAAGAAGGTAGAAGGTGCGGGCATGGTGCCGCCCCGTTTGCCCATAGGCCCGGGACTTATTTCTATCTACCACCTACGCTCCTAGCACTACCTCAACCAAGAGCGACCGGTTCGTACCCCATATCGAAATTGCAGAGAATTCACAACTCTGCAAGAAATTGCAGAAAATTCAGAAATCGCGGACACTGCAGAAATTACAGAGTTTGCAGAAAGTACAAAATTTGCTGCAAATACCGAATTTAGAGAAAACTGCAGACTTCAAAGAATCGCAGCCCTACTACCTAGTATATGAGTGAACAGCACAAGTATGAGCAGCCAAGATCACAAGAGAAGTGCATCACAATCACCAAGGATGAATCAGAACACTCCTACCTAGTACATGAGTGAACATCACAAGTGTGAACAACCCAAATCACAAAGAAGGAGCATGACAACACTCAAGGATGAATCAGGGCACTACTACCTACTCCGTGAGTAAAAAACACAAGTGTGAACAACCCAAATCACAAGGGAAGAACAACACAACACTCAAGGAAGAATCGGAACACTACTACCTACTACATGAGTGAAATGCACGAGTATGAACAACCCAAATCACAAGGGAAGAGCATCACAACACTCAAGGGAAGAATCGGAACACTCCTACCAAGTACATAAGTGAACAACACAAGTGTGAATGGCCCAAATCACAAGGGAAGGGCATCACAACACTCAAGGATGAATCGCAACTCAAACTACTACCAAATGAGAGCAAAATGAGAGAATGGACAGGCCAAAACACAAAGGAAGTGCAGCGGAACATCCAAGGGTGATACGCAACTCAAACTACTACCAAATGAGAGCAAAATGAGAGAATGGACAGGCCAAAACATAAAGGAAGTGCAGCGGAACATCCAAGGGTGAATCGCAACTCAAACTACTACCAAATGAGAGCAAAGTGAAAGAATGGACAGGCCAAAATACAAAGGAAGTGCAGCGGAACATCCAAGGGTCAATCGCAACTCAAACTACTACCAAATGATAGCAAAATGAGAGAATGGACAGGCCAAAACACAAAGGAAGTGGAACATCCAAGGGTGAATCGGAACTCAAACTACTACCAAATGAGAGAAAAATGAGAGAATGGA